AGGACCTTGTTCATATTACTCTTGCATTTACTTTGTAGACTTTAAAATAGAAACCTCTAACTTTTTAATGTGTACCTTTATTTGATCATAATTAAAACTCTTCACTGATTTTGTGAGAGCATAAATTACACACCTAGTTTATAAGTGAAAGATCAATTAGTTAGTTGGAAAAGAAGAACTGACCTAGAATTAGCTCTACGTCTTCAGAAGATACATTGGGTTTATATCTAGCTACGGGTTAACTACAGTCACAGTGTCAATGCTTTGGACACAGATTCTTGGTCTGTGAGAATTCATAACTTCCCAAAGGAGTCACATCACACAGTCATGCTTTGGCTCCTGGAAAAATTTGCTCTTTAATGATCGTAATTTTAAAGGCTGTTTGTTAGCCTCAACACACTTATCCTCATGCGGAATAAACTTACATGAAAATATTTTGATCAGTAGTGCCCAAGTCAAGACACTAGTCTTAGACCACTCATAATTCTTCATATTTGGAGGAAAAATCCTTAGTAAAAGCTTAGTTTTTCACCTTCATGTGAATGCAGCTGTGAAAATTGCTAGCATTTTTTTCAGCATTCCATTCTAGTGTCTTGACTTCTTGTGGAATTTTCTCCCTACATCCTACCTGGGACGGCTTGCTTTATACTATTGAGAATTGTTTGAATATGCATTTTATGTTGCGCTACTGCTATTAGAAGAAGCCTGTGCAGACCAGGGAGGGACCACCGTAGGTGGAATCATTTTGGAAAATTGACCTTTAAATACTGCATAAATGGCCAACCCTTAACAAGTCACTTTAAAAAACCCAGAACTACAATTTTTGGCATTCGTAGAAGCAGTATATCTTATGTCCATTTGAAGCAATAAAAACATGTTGCTAAAAACATGAGGTTTTGGTGAAGAATGCGTTTTACTAGAGTCCAAGTCAAGACAATAGTCTTAGATAAAGAGAGTAAGCATAGATTGAACTCAGCAATGAATGTTTAGATAGGCGTTTGGAGATAGTGGGCCAAAGTTAGACATGATTAAGTTTGAATTGGAATTTAGTTCTACAAGCCTCATGTATTTTTAGGATGACAGAGTGGGTACTAAATGCCATTGACCATACATTTGATCCTACAAATTCTCATAACATAATTGTGATAAGTCCTACCCAACAATTTTATACTTGGACATATATTTATGTTTTGTGTTACAAGATCAATGGTATATCCTGAGATGTGAAATTACTGTTTTTCATCTCAAGATACAGAAACATACTCTGTCTCACTAGTCAGACAAAGAGTAAGCACTTTGTAAGTACATCTATACACTGGAGCTCAATAGACCTTTGTGGCTCCTGCAGCCCTCTCCCCCACTTGCTAAAACGAACAAGTCGCTTGATAATCCTCAGTTTTTCATCTCTAAAGAATAATAACAACACTTCACTGTGTGTAAGAATACAGAAGTACACATGTACGCATATGAATCATTATATACACGTGCACATACGTACACGGACATTCAGTATCTGACACGTACAGACGGTCCCACACGGCTGCTCAGTAAAGAGCAGCTGTTGCTATCATTTTACTTATTCATCACTCCCTCTCTGCTCCAGTCTCTCCCATGTGGATTCTAAATCCCTTTCATTACTCTTACACCCTACATGCTTAGCACATCCCATCTCATTGGAAAGATCACGGCTCAACCGCCTGGTTTCTTTCAGCTTCACATTCCTATACCTCAGAATTTCTCGATCGATTCTCCTTTCCTCTTGCCTCCAACAAACTGTATACTTGGTTCCACTGTCTCCCTCTGCAAAATCTTGCTCTTCTCTCTGAAAGTGTTTCCTCTCGCTCCACTTCCCCTTCCTGTAATTCAGCCTGGCTGCCACATTCCTCTCTCTTTCTCAGGCAAAGTGCCTCTGTGCTTCATTCTTGTTAGAGAGTGGCTGGTGGCAGGAACTGCTTCCTTATTGAGGGACATTTAGTTCACGAAAAAGAAAAAAAAAAGCATCTTATGCTAAATGATTACCCTTAAACACTGCAGGCTGTTTTCAGGCCCTGTAAACCCTGAGGCTCAGGAGATAGCAATTTAAGTCACACTTGTCAAACTGTGAGATTGACCCAGGAAGTCATTTATTTGCCCCTGAAAATGCTTCTTATACTTTTCCATTTAGTTTGATGGCACACAAAGTTCACCCAAATTATTTACACTTCAAGCCACTTTCAAGTTGTTGTTTTAGTGTTTATGAATTGCGCTGAGGAATACAGAAGACTTTAGTGAAGTTGCATATCCCTGAAATGTCTTAGTACTAGAGTAGAAAATATATAACTCAAGCTCTAAACCATATATAGTAAGTGTATTTTACACAAGGATTCCTTGAAGTTTATTCTCATGGAAATGGCTCTGTCGTTGGAAAGGACTTGATCATGTAATCCGTCCCCTGTAACCTACAGTTGGGTTGCGTGGAAAGTCCGTCTGGAATGAATGAACAGTTTAATATCAGAACATGGTCAGTTCCTTTATACTTTAGTTAGGAAGTTGAGGTTGCAGTCCACGTTTCAAGGTCTGAGTTAGGTCTGACAAGGCACCAATTCATAGCCTGAGAAGCTAAAGGGCACCTGTATTGCAGACCTGAGGCGTGCAGCTCTTTGTCCTCTACAGCCTGACATTTTCCCATTTTTTTGTCATAAAATGGATAAGACACCCCAAATCAAAATTACTGTATCTGTAAAAATTATTTTACTTAACAGAAAACCTGTCAGTCTGAATACAAGTTAAGTAAAGCACTCATTTATCTACTTTTGCGGCTACGCAGGTAGTCTTTATTTTCACATACTTTTAAGTGAATTGCTTGAAAAGGTGTGAGGTGTTAATTCCTTCTGTAAAAATAATATGTATCAGTGTTTTAATTATGCATGTTATTTAAGATACATACCTAAAATGATGAAAAAGTCAAAAGCATATTTTTAAAATAAGTACATCTATACATATTTTAAATTATTAGTCCTTAATTAATTTAGCTTTATAACAATTTTGAGCACCATATTACAGTAACTATCAATTTATTGACAGATACTTTTTCAGCTGTTATTACACTGTATATGAGAAACATGTTTTTATCTGTGTATGAGCTGTTTGCATTCATCAGTTGTATAATTAGTGAAACAGTGTCCATCTTCTTATATTATTTTGGTTTTTGGTCTGCGTAGGTTAACCTCAGAAGGCATCCTTCTTTGGAGATGTGTTTGGAGTGGATTTGCTTAATACAGAGTAAAATTATGAACATTGTAAAAATATACACACGGTTCTACAGCATTGCTTCTTAAATGCAAATACTTAATGTGCTCCTGTGCTCACCGTTCTAATTGTTATATTCACTCATTCAATCAGCGTGTTCACTGAGCTCTTGCTCTCTGTACAGCTGTGTTCTAGGCAATGGAGATAGAGTTCCAAAAAAGAACAAGAGACAAAAGTCTCTGCCCTTGGGGAACTTTAAAAGAGATTTATCATAATAGAGCAACCTAGATTACCCTTTAAAAAACACATGGCATTCACATTTGCAAAAACAACTTGTCGGTTTGATTGGATTTCCAGTTCAGTAATTATGTGATGGGTTTTCTTCTGGTCCTTTAAAAATCATTGTCTGGTAAGAGTAATCAGGTTTTCCGCGGACAAATATGTTGCTATCAAAGTTAATGTGCACCTGCTGACTGAAGATCTTTTTTGGCCCTAATGTTTTAGGGTTCTCCCACCATGTCTTTCTAGAAGGGGACACGCAGCCCCAAGAGCGACTGATCAGCCAGTCCTTAGGGGAAAGCATCCCCCTCGCTCAAGGTCAAGTGAGCACTCTAGTGTCAGAACACTGTGTTCTAGGCACCACCTTGCCCCTGGAGGGTCGGCGCCACCTTCTCCGCTTCTGACAAGGTCGCTACTCAGTGTCCAGCCCAGCATTCGTGTCCTGCCTCGGGGTGTTGGTGTTGGTGTTGTACCTTCCTGAGCACTCGAAGCTTTCACTCATTATGACACTATGATTTTTAATCCTTTCTTTGTGACACTTAAACCTCTCTCACATCCTCTATTACCTGCATTTATATTCACTGTGCTAGTGGTTTTCTATAGTTTCTGCCAATTAGCCATCAGTGGAAATTAAATTTGGCTGTGTGACGTCCTTTCATCTGTTTGTGGCATATTCATATAGACTTTTTTTAATTATGTGAAATTATGTATGGTCAATTATCTGGAATTAAAAGTACATATATATATTTTTAAAGTATAAGATAAATTTAAAAATAAAAGCTTTTCTTGCGTATTCAGTACAATCTGAGAGAATTTTAAAATCGTGCAGTTAAAAACAACGTTTGAACACCAGCAGATGGAAGTCAGCTTAATCTTGGGCAGTAATAATATCTCTGCACACTTCTCGTGCTTTCATTTGTAATTTCCATCCTTGTAACACTACATATTATGACATGTAGTCCAAGGTTATTTTAAATATTTATCAATTTTTTACTATTTAAAAATGAAGAACAAGTGAGTCGTAATTTACCAAAGTCTGTAGTTAGAATTATTCTAAAGTTAGAAATAATTCTAGAATATATACTGATCCGATTTAATAGGAAGAATTTAGGCAACAGCCTTTCTTAACTAATTTATCCACATTGTTAAGATCCAGAGGCTGTGATTAGATATATTTGGCTTGGTACCACCAAAAATGAATAACTTTCCCAGAAAGCACAACTTCCTAGAAAGTTTATGGAAAGGAGCAGATCCGATTCCACTCTGGTCAGGAATTCCATTTGCAGACTGTGTGTGGCTGACTTTGCCCTGTCTCTTTCAGCCTGTTTTCATAGTATTCCTTTTACACATATCATAAAAAGTACTTGATTTTGCTTTCATTGGCCCAATTAAGGGGGTTGTGTTTATTTTAATAGTGACGGGAAAGCGGGAAATATTTTTGTCAGGCTGTACTGGAGTTTTATCATTTCATCCCTCTCTGTTTTTGCCTACAGAATGCACCGACAGGAAAGTCCAACCCAGTCCCCTCCGGCAGACACGTCATTCAGCAGTCGCAGGGGAAGACAGCTCCCACAAGTGCCCGTGAGAAGTGGCAGTATAGAACAAGGTATCCGATAAAGAGACGTCATTGTCCAAAAATGTTGGATTTATTGAACCTCTTTTTATATTCTCTTTATTACATGAAAGGTATTTGGATTACACGTAATTTGCTAAATCTGAAGAAGCTCCTTGGAATTTTACCTCCGGCACCTAGTTGCAATGGCTCAGGGCATGTACTTGGTTTTTACTACGTGAGTGAATGAATGAATTTTAAGTGTTGTTTAACAGAAGGAATTGAAGTCTAGAAGCACTTTTTTTTTTCCAACTTGGCAAAAAGAAAAAAGAAAAAAAAAAAAAATTAAAAAACTTAGCATAGTTTTGTGTTAAAAGAATACTTTCCCTTTTGCAACATTTTTTAAAAAGTTAGACATTTGATCATACTGGATACTTTACTACTACAATTCTTAATTTTAACTTGATTGACAGTATGCTGTATTTTTAAGTAAATTTGATGACGAAAAATGGCTTAGAACACATATTTTACTATCTTTTCAACACCTCCTGTGGTTTAAGATGCCCTTATTTAATGCCTGGGTACACTGTGTTTTATTTTCAGAGAGCGAGCGAGAGGGAGTGTATGTGATTTGATGGTAGAAACTAATTTCCCCCAACTGTCTGAGTTAGAGGATTTGCATACTGAGTCAAAGTAGTCAGTATTCTTCATGGGACCCAAAGTGCTATCTCCTTTTTAAGTAGGTGAAATGATTTGTTACCAGGATTCGTTGTCACATATTTTTATCAGAAATTTGTTAAGCAATTTACTGTAATAATTCTTCGTTTGAGCTCACAGTATAAATGCAGTGGACTTACATTTAAAACATTTATTGAAAAGCTTTATCCCTATGAAATAACAAAAAGGTTAACATATTGAGTATTTTTTCCAGTGGTGTTGGTTGTGGATGATGTACAACTTGCATTTCATTCTCTATTAAGGATTCTGAAAACCCTTTTTTCCTCACCTAACTGAAGCGCCTTACTGAATGTACACAGAAATGTTAAAGATTTAAGAAGATAAGTGCATTGGTTCAAAGATTGATATGGCATGGTTTCCCGTGCGCAATACTTCTTTATAGAAAAATCAGTATACATTTTAAAAGGTATCAGTTTACTAATAGAGTAATATAGTAAACTCTGAATTTATATTTTTAAAAATACATCCTGTTGATATATCATATACTAGTGTGCAGGGTTGCTATAAGGATAGCTATTTAGGTAATCAGAAAAATATGATGCCTTATGAATCTCTGGCTTTCTTTTCTAAAATAGAAGTTAATTAATTGGAATTATCAATATGCATGTTTAACAAAATTTCTTTTTTCTGGGAACATTTTGATAAGATTATTTATAATCAATGCTCTTAAAACCCTAACAGTAACCCAGAGGAAATTGTTTTAAAATTTAGTTTTTAAAAGTCAAAATTAGTATTTATTTAAACTATCCATTCATGAACTCCTGTTGCACAACTAAAAGAACTGCAAACTTTGGTGTTTAGCTACCAACTCGGCGTTACTGGCCATATTTTGATATTCAAAAAGTCACGTGCTTCTGAAATTCTTTGCATTTCCTCCAGTTGCAAATAAAATACTCTGTGGGTATTGTGTATGACTCTCATGTAATGAGACTATAGTTATATTATTTCTGTAGAAATAAGAACTGCTTCTATAAAGTCAATTGGATTGTATGTTGGATTTGGGGTTTTTTTAAAAAGCTTATGTTCTATTCATATCAATGCTACTGTTTATGATATTCCTATTCACAATTGTCTTTCAGAGAAATCATCAATTTATAAGGATTGAATTGAGGTGGGAAGAAAGGAAAGGATTGAATGAAAAAGACATTGCTGGGCTTATTTCAATATTTAATAATACAAATACACTAATCAATACTTCTGGTCATTTGAGATACCAGACATATATGATCTTAAGAGTTACACACATATAGCTTTTTTAAAATGTGATAACAAACATGTATCATTGTATCTACGTGTTCTGCTGTAAATCAAGTAGGTCTGGTGGCTCGTGTGACGTTACCGTGTGCTTTGGGGTGTTTGGTTGATGGTCACACTGTCTGTCATCTCCTTATGGGCCGATTTCAAACGGAACAGTTCCCACGACTGCTTTGTTTGTCCGGAAATATGGTTTCAAAAATTAGTTTCTACTTTGGTTTATGAGTTAGGTAGGATTTAACACATTCTGTTTTAAGATTGATGTCATGGCTATCCATAAGGCTATAGAAATAAGTCATTTTATCTTTGTGATAGTATTTGTTAAACTTAAGCTGTATCTCCTATGATAATTAATGCTGGCTACAGTTTATTTACAGTTAAGCCTCTACTGCTCTTGACCTCCTTCCAATATTCTTTTTTGTTTGTCTTTTCTCTTTAACAAAGGGCAGTTTTCTTTAAAAAAAAAAAAATAGCTGAGTTGATAAACAACTGATTGGTAAGAATAAATATTTCGAATCAGATAGATTCCTGGATAGTTATACGACTTTTTGATGCACTTATAATTTTTTTATTTGTACATAGTTTGTGGATACAGTTATCTACATTATTGTTTTGATTACTGTTTGATGTGTGCAGTGACAATTTGATTATGGCTGGATATGTGTTTTTTTGTTCCTTTGAATCAAATTTACTCTTTTCATACTATAAAAGCAATTATCTCATATTTTAAATGCTAGCATATAATCTGAATAGACTTATTTGCTTAATTTTTTAAAAAATTATTATAAATTTTCTTTCAAAAATTAATTGGGAATAATACTATCCTGTTTGCTACATAGTCTGATTATATTAAAGTGGGTTTAGGAGAAAAGCAAGCTCGGGTCACAATACAGATTTTGAGGTAAAGTAGAAAAATGAAGCCTTATAATTTAGGTAACTATAATGATATGTAGCAATTGAAAGTAAAAACATCCATGAAATTTCTCTGCTTATATCTGAACATTGTAGTCCAGTGTAGCCCTCTACAGAATGGCTAAAGCCAACGTAATTGGTATGGGTCTCTGTAACAAACCATGTGTGTTTTTTTATGCTTAATTTGATGTTTAAAGAAGCATTTAAAGATCATTCTTACACTGACACTTATTGATGGGCCAGTTATATTTTTATGTGTTCTACTACTCTAACTACTACTTAAAACTCAAATGACTTCCCTGTCAGAAATACACAGATAAGCCATTGTCACTCACTAACACGGATGCCAACACAGAGGTGAATATTATAAAGCCTTATCAACTTCAGGAATATCATGTCTAAAAGCAAATAGCTTCCCTCTGGTTTATTTTAATACAATGGATTTGAGAAGGAAGAAAGGATGACTTACACTAGACTGTAGATTGTTCTGTGGGAAAAGTTACAGGATAGTTTCCACAGTGCAAAGGAAATGCCTCCGATTTAGTCCGAAAATAAAATTAATTTCTTCATTTATCATAGGAGCTTTCAAATCAGCTGCTATCTGTCATTTTTGAAGTGACTAAAGTTTTATGACAAATATTAAGTATGCTTTTAAATACTTCTATGATAAAATCAAAATAGATTAAAGTTTAAATGTTTTAGTAAAATTGGTGCCGAAATACACAGTTCTTAAAAGGCATGAAAAGAGTCTATCCAAGTATACTAGTCAGTGTTTTTTGGTTTATTTTAAATCTTTAAATTGCTATATTCATTTTTTTTATTAATTTTAGTGCCATATTGGGACTTGTCATGGTTTGTCATTGCAACTTGTCATGTCACATTATATGTTATGCATTTTTATTATTCATGCCCTTGTGTTAATTCACATTTCCATGTCTAACTATAAATTTGCTGATTTCTTTCTTTTGTTTCCATCATTATGTGCATTTAATTCATTGAAGAACAAGAAAAATATAACTCTTCCACAAAAGGTAAATATTAATGCAATTTTTTAACTATTTAATATTGTTACTTTAAAAAATAATGTATGAGAGATTTTCATATATATAGAACTGTATTTATTAAAAAGTGAGCAAAATTATTAAACAGGTAGTTATTTCTCTAAAATGATTTATTGGAAACTTGGTATTAATTATTTCCTCCTGTGTGCATTCACATCAACAGAGGAAGAAATTGCTTTCACATTAATAATATTTTTGTTTCAAAATGAATTTATTCATACTGACAACTAGAAAACAATTTTCCCTAGAAAATAATAACGTATTCTTTCTTTCGGGTTGTTTGTTTGCATTCCCCCGTTCTCATAGATAAAGGATTTAATTCTTACCTTCTATTCAGGGTAATAGCTGAAGCAAAGAAGTAGAAAACCCCTGGGTTTCGCCTGCCAGATAGCAGACACCTTAGTGGATGTTGGGGCCCCTGCTGTGACCATCCATCTGGGAAGGAGCTACCTAAATGCTGCCCTTCCTGGCCTCAATATTAGTGTGATGGCCAGTCAACTGTCCTGAAGGACACAGAACAGAAAACCACATTGCTGACCTTCTTCTTAACTACCCTTTTGGATTACATTTTATTGTTGGTCTTTGCACTTGAGTTTTAAGTAGATTGCAGGCCTCACCCCACACTCCCATGCTGTCCACACATCTACCTATTCAGAGTTACTTTTGGACTTATACTTATTTAAACGTGAGTTTAAGCTTAATGTAATAATGCAAATAATACATAAACACTATACAACTCTGTATAGTTTTAATAAAAGTACATTTTCTCAATATTTGAAAGTAGATTAATGATTGGAGTTAATTTGTTGCCCGTAGTACCCCTTAAAGCTAGTCCTAAAAACAGCATCATCTCTATTTTAGGAATGAGGAAACTCAGGGTTAGAGAGATTAAGAGATTTGCCCATTCACTCTAAATCCCAGGCCTCCTACTTTGGACTTCCTTCCGCTACGCTTTGGTTTATCTTATTCTAATAAACACAAATCCCAAATATATTATACCTAACTCTTAATATATTTAGGTATATGTTATGTATCTTCATATTAAAAATATAAAATAAAACATAATATTCAATTACTTATTTTAATATG